TCCTGCAGGGCCGAGGCTGCCGCGCTGATAAACAACCGCCCCCACAAGGGGATGGGGATGGGGACCGAGAGGACCAGGCCGCGATCTTGGGCATGAGAGGCGGCAGGAAGCCGAGGAGGGCCGGCTGGACCAGGCTGGGGGCAGGGTAGGAGTGGGGGTGCTGTCTGTGCTCGCCCCTCCGAACTCCGAGGAGAGCTTCGCCCCCCACCCCCTCACGGCAGGGCAGGAACCCTGGCACATGCAGATCAGCCACAGGAGACTCCGGGCCCAAGCTGGGGGCAGTCGTCCGTTCCAGGTCGCAGGATGAACTGGGGCCAGTGGGAAGGGGTTGGACATGGGTTGATGGCTAGTGACAGAGCCAGGCCTGGACCTGGGTGGCCCCACTCCTGGGTGAGGTGGGCTCCCTCCTGTCGCACGTGCCCTACACTGTGTTTCCAGGGTCTGTTTTGGGGCCTGGAAAGTCGGTGGGGGGCGGGGAGGGGGTGTCCCTGGGCAGACAGGCCTCTTGCCAGTTCTCCCTGGCCTTTGCCGGAAGACCCTTCCCGTGGAAGGTTGGGGAAGGGAGGAGGCGGAGGAACAGAGGCCTGGAGAAGTGAAACTGCAGGACAGGACTGGGAGTGTGTGGGGGCTGTAAGAGCAGGAGGTGGGAGGTCAGGAGACAAGGAGGTGGGAAGAGAAAGGGGGTGCGGATGAGAGATGGCACAGGTGCGTGGGGAAGGAGAAAGGGTGGTACTTTTGGGGTGAGGTGTGTGTGTGGGAAGGGTGAGGCTGTGGGCTGACTGAGAGCTCCTTGGAGGCCCCCCCAGTGGGTCTGTTTTCCCCGCTTCTTTTTTTAAGCTGGGACCTCAGCCCTGCTGGCTACACCCATTTCCAGGCCAGTGAGTGCTAGTGTTCAGCACGTGTCTGAGTCAGATGCATCCTCACCCCCCTTACCCATCCTGCAACACAGCGTGAATGAGGCAGCCAGGGCAGTGTGGGAGGGAGCCCCCACCCCATGACCAGCCTGTGGGCATCTGGTCTGCATATGCTCAGGGAGCAGGCCTCACCTTCCTGCTTCCCTCCTGTTCTACCCTGGACGCCCTGTTCGGGAAAGGCTGTCAGGGAAGTGCCCGCACCCAAACCAGGTATTTTTGTAAACTGTTAAGTGACTGCGTGGGGTGGTGCAGAGAACCAGCACAAGGGTGAGTGGGGAAGAGGTTATGGGTGGGGTAGCCGGGCAGGCGTCTGAGGCGCTGGCTTCCCTGTCGCAGGTACATCCCCTTCTTCCTCATCCTCTTCATGTACTTCAGCGGCTGCTTCACTCCCACCAAAGCTGAAAGCTCAATGCCAGGGGCAGCCCTGCTCCTGGTGGTGCCCAGTGGCCTGTACTACTGGTGAGTGGACCTCTGGCCTGGGCTGGGGGAGGGTGGGGGCCCTCAGAGAGCTAGCTACGGAAAATGTGCTCTTAACCCCCGTGTGACCCCAGGTCAGACTCTCCCTCCTGGGGCCCCTGTGTCGTCCTCTTCTAGTGGGGACTGTGACAGTGCCTTGTGGTGGCTGCTCTGTTGCCAAGAAGCCAGGCTTGAGTATGGCCTCTCCACACTCTGAGTGCTACCTTGGGGCCAGTAGACTCCAACACCACACGCTGTAGAGCCCTGGGGGCCTCAGTTTCCTCCTCTGTGAAATGGGGATAATACCTGCCTGTCTCGCTCTTGGGATATGGTGAGAATCCAGGGGAGAGAAAGGGGCTTCATAAACTTCAGGGCAGATAAGGGGGGAATGTCAGAGCCTCAGGGGCTGCCCGCCTGGTTGCTTTTCCCTCCAGCTCTCTCTTCCCACTCCAGAGGACCCAGGCCTCAGCCAGCCTCTTCCTCAGTCACTTCTGCTCCAGATCCAGGCTCCCCTGGGGATTGTGGGTGTCCTAGAAAGGGCTGAGTCCTTCTCCGGTGGGAAGCTTCCAGCAAAATAAAAAGGGGCCTGCTCCAGCCCACCTCCAGGGGCTGCTGCTGGCCGGCCGAGGGGGTCCACCAGGGCGAATCTATAGGCCCGCTGAGAACAGGGTTAGAAGGAATGGGTAGCAGCTACAGCTGGAGGGAAAGAGGTGAGACGTGGCCTGTTCTTACCCATGGCCTGTGGGTGCAGTGATAGCTTTTCCAAGTACATAGTTCTTGTCAGTAACCTTGAGAGATAGGGCCATGTATGTATGCCCCCTTTATGAGTAGGAAAACAGAGGCTCCGTGATGTCATGTGAATTCCCCACAGAGACACAGCCGCTAAGTTGCAGAGCGATGTGGCTCCTTGAGTGGGATGGGTCAGCACTGAGGTTCTCTCTAGAAACCGGGGAATAGACCAGATGTGTGCTAGGTAGGTACTGCCTTAGATACCACAGGGAACCCTGGGAGATCTCAGAATTTGTCCCAGCCTTCAAGGAGACAGTAATGACAACCCTCATAAATTGAAACTGCATTCCCAAACTCAAAACCCATTAGGGACCAAGATGGTAGCAAATGCATCAAGCAGGCATCAAGTGAGGCAGTAGGGAAAGGTGGGGACTGTGGCTAGCTGCGGAACAGTCCTCTCTCTCAGGGGAGCAGCTGCTTTCTCCTCTGATCAGTTACTGTGATGTGGGAATATAAGCCTAGTGTGAGCAGGGGAGCCAGAAATCCACATTTGCAGGTAATCTGTTATTTAAATATCGGCAACAAACTCAATGTTTGAAGAAAAAATAGTAACTGTACAAGCCCAATCAACGTGCTGCTTACAGGCCATGGCTCAGAGGAATGTGGTCCCCCGAGCCTCTGGCTCCATGTGCTGTTCTGACTGATGGGGAGGGCAGCCTGGTCCTGAGGGAATGCCAGGCAGGGTGGGCTGTCGTGACACCCACTGCAGCTCAGCCACTGGCCTCCTCAGGTACCTGGTCACCGAGGGCCAGATCTTCATCCTCTTCATCTTCACCTTCTTCGCCATGCTGGCGCTCGTCCTGCACCAGAAGCGCAAACGCCTCTTCCTGGACAGCAACGGCCTCTTCCTCCTCTATTCCTTCGCCCTCACCCTCCTGCTCGTGGTGCTCTGGGTCGCCTGGCTGTGGAATGACCCTGTGCTCAGGAAGAAGTACCCGGGCGTCATCTACGTGCCTGAGCCCTGGGCCTTCTACACCCTCCATGTCAGCAG